GAAAAAACAAAAGAGAACATCATTCTGGGATATATCAGCAGGAATGTTGTAAACAAGCCACAAAAATAAATTCTTCTGCTCTACTCTGCGCTGATTAGGCCTCAACTGGAGTATTGTGCCCACTTCTGGATGCCACAATTTAGGAAAGATGTGGACAATTTGGAGAAAATCCAAAGGAGAACAACAAAAACGATTAAATATCTAGAAACATGACCTCCGAGGGAAGGTTGAAAAAACTGGGTTAGTTTAGTCTGAAGAAGAAAAGAGAAGACTGAGGGGGGACATGATAATTTTCAAGTACATAAAAGGTTGTTATAAGGAGGAGGGAGAAAAAATTTTGTTGTTAACTAAGGCCTCAATATAGTCACGGAGGTTGAGGAAGTCACGGAATCCATGACTTCCAGTGACCTATGTGACTTCAGCCTGTGGTGGTCGGGAGCTGAAGAATCCCCCGCCGCCCATGGGGTCAGGGAGCTGGGGGTACCCCTGCCGTCTCTGGTTGCCTCTGGCGCTCCAAGCCACTACAGGTGGCGGGGTACCCCGCAGCTTCCAGCTGCTATAGGCAGTGGGGTACCCCTGAGCTCCAGGCCACCATGGATGGTGGGGATCTCCCAGAACTCCCGGCCACCACAGGTGGTGGGGAACCCCCAAAGCTCCCGATTGCCATGGATGATGTGGGAACCCCTGATCTCCCATCTGCTGTGAGTGATGGGGGTCCCTGGAGCTGCCGGTGGTGGGGGAACCCCTGCGTTTCTGGCTGCCATGGGTGGTGAGGAACCCCACAGATCCTGGCTGCCATGGGTGAACCCCAAGCTCCCAGTGGCCATCGGCCCCTGGAGCTGTGGACAGAAGAGGTACCCCACAGCTACCGGCTGCCACGGGCGGTGAGGGCACCCACTACTCCTGGCCCGCATTGGCAGTGGGGGGACCCCCGGAGCTGCAGGAGCAGGGATACCCTGCAGCGTCCAGCTGCTGCAGGCAGCTCCTAGCCCCCATGCAGCTGCCCCACTTCAGGCCATGTGGGAACCCACAGATCCCCATTTTGTTAGGGATATTTTTAGGAAAAGTCACGGACAGGTTATGGCTTCCATGAATTTTTCTTTTTTGCCTGTGATCTGTCCGTGAGTTTTACTAAAAATATCTGTGACAAAATCTTATCCTTATTGTTAACCTCTCAGGATAGGTGTGACACAGGGCTAGAAAGTGTTAAGCAACTTGTGGGCTAATTGACCCAGATTCAATCTTTAGAGACATATTAGTAGATAATGTTTGTGTTTTTGGGTGTTTACATGTATATTGTTAGGTTAACAATTTAACCAAACAGTTCCTGTCTATCAATTTATTCTGTTAATTCAGAGATCAAAAGAAGATGTTAACATTTAAATAAATTGTAAATGTAGTGATATCACTGTCTTAATTTCTCTTTGAAGTTTGTGGTAAATCACCTGCAAATGGTGGGAGATAGGCAACTGCCTTTTGTTAATCCATGTAGCTAATTACCGGTGATGTTTAAGAAATAGGAGGTCACTTCAAAGACACTATTGTTCACTCAAGGACTACATGCTATCAGGAGGCTATCATTGCGTGCCAGTAATTCTATAAAAATTCTTGGGACCCCATCCTTTCACCTCAAATGTGCTTATGCTTTATCAGGGGAAGCTTGAGCCTCAAGATTGAGGTCTCCAGTTCCATTCTGGATCACCCTGATATTGCACATTGGACGGAACCTATGGATTCATTCTAAAAGAACTTTTTGCAACTGTAAAGCTCACCATCTCTACTATGAAACTGACCTAAAAACTCTATTCATACCTGTATGTATAATGACCTTTCAACCAAAATTCTCTCTCTTTTCTTTTTTAATAATTGTTAGTTTAGTTAATAAGAATTGACTGTAAGTGTGGGTAAGATCTGAAATATTCGGGTAAGATCTGAAATATTCATTAACCTGGAGAGTGTGTCCCATCTAGGGTGACCAGATGTCCCGATTTTATAGGGATAGTCCTGATTTTTGGAGCTTTTTCTTACATAGACACCTATTATCCCCAACCCCCTGTCCCAATTTTTCACACTTGCTATCTGGTCACCCTAGTCCCATCCTTTGGGAATGGTAGAACTTTTTATATGATGAACAAGATTTTCAGTAATCCTCATCATATTTGACTTGGCTGTCTGGGAGGAAGCCAAAGCCTGGGTTGCTTTAAGGAAGCTGTTTTATTGCTGGCTTGGTAAATCTAAGTATTAAAATAACCACCAGTTTTGGGTATTGTCTGCCCCATTCTTTGCAGTTTTCCCTGATTGAGCAATCTTAGCGTGGCCCCCTTGAAACCCCAGTCCCAATAGGATAAGAAGAAATGGGCTTAAATTGCAAAAACGGTCTCTTAGGTTGGACATTAAGAAAAACTTCCTAACTGTCAGAGTAGTTAAGCACTGGAACAGATTTTCTAGGGAGGTTGTGGAATCTCCATCATTGGAGATTTTTAAGAGCAGGTTAGACAAACACCTGTCAGGAATGGTCTAGAAAATACTTAGTCCTGCCTTGAGTGTGGGCTACTGGACTAGATGACCTATTGAGGTCCTTTCCAGTCCTACACTTCTATGATTCTATGATTAACACTTCCCTAAAATCAGTTACTCTTTTAAAATCCCCACCCCTAACACAATACACAAAACTAAGATACCAAATAAATAAAAAAGGAATAATTTTTTTATTTAGTTCAGAAATAACCCCTCTTTCACATACTTTTTTCTTTTAATAAAGACTGAGTGACGACTCCAGAATTTGGCCTTATATTATAAATATGAAAAAAGCCTAGAAATTCAGAAGATTTTTCATACTTAAATAACAAATGCAGAAGATGATCCCAATGTCGATGATGAAGAAAAGAACAGGGATAACAACAATGCCCATGGAAACCATGTTGTCTACGACTAGTTTTGTCACATCTATTTTTTCTGTAGAAAAAGACAAAAAATGGTCAGAAGTTGCTGAAAATATCCAATACGTATATTTGTTCTGCACCAGAAATATATTTTCCATTTTAAAGATAAAGAATGAATCTAGGTTGTTTGGGTATTTTGTTATGTGTGTTTGCTGAAAGCACAATTAAAATTATTTGATGAATGAAATGGATAGAGAACTGTTGAACTTTCAAGAAAACAAGGAGAACAACATCATAATGTTTTCTTGTTTCTCATTTATTAATGATTATTATTATTCAGTATTCCATTTTTTAAATAGTCTTCACAACATACAGGATCTTTAAGCATAAAAAGGGAAAAGTTATGGTCTATAATTTATCCCCATGAGTCACCAATAAATCCTGATCACAAACTGACTCCATAGGTTTGGGTGGTCAGGAGTTTTGTTAAATCCTCCATAGAATTCCTGCATTTCAGATGCTCAAAAACACTTGTTCTTTGAATTTCCTTAAAGTTCTCACAGTGCCTAAAAGCACTCTCTTCTGGAGCTTGCTGAACATATTCCTGAGCTGTTCATTCAAATCCATAGAGATCACTCCAACTGTTCCAATAATCACTGGGATCAGGGCCGTCCTTACCCATACACAAAGTACGCAGCTGCATAGGGCACAAGGAAATTTCGGGCACCAAATTTCCTGGTGCCCTACGCAGCTGCATGTTGCTCCAGCCCCTGCTCCGGCTCTTCCCCAGGGCCCCTGCCCCTGCTCCGCCCCACCCCGCCCCACCTCGCCCTCCCCTAAGGACTCCAGAAGTGGTTGGGCCTGCACTCCCACACTCACTGCAATACCTTTCCCAGGCTGAGCCAGCGGACATTTGTAAGATAAAGTAAGTCCTGGTGTTCGGCGTCAGTGTCTTCACTACTGTGCGAACAACATGATCAATGTCCAAGACATTTTTGCAGAGGGCCTCCTGATGTATAATACAATGCAGAAAAATCACCTCTTTATCAGCGTCATCTTCTTTTACTTTGTCCTGAATTCTTTTTAAAAGTCCTACGTTTTTCCCTGTTAAATTTGGTGATCCATCTGTGGTTACGTTTGCCTGTTTACTCCAGGGGAGTTTCAGATGTTCAAGGCACCCAGACACCCTCTCGTATAAATCCAGTCCCTTAGTTGTGCCTTTCATTGATTCAACTGATAAAAATTCCCCTGTGATTTCAAATTTGTTGTCAATTCCTCTGACAAAAATCAGTAACTGTGCTGTGTCCTTAATGTCAGTGCTGTCATCGAGAGCTAATGAAAACAATGTAAAGCCCTGTGCTTTCTTGTTCAACTCAGGAGCCAAATGTTCATCAATCACTTCTACACGGCGAGTAACAATTCTTCGTGCAAGCCCCCGCCCTTGCTGTCCCGGCCGGAGTGCAACAAGCCCACGACCCCACTTCCCTGGGTGGAGCGCAGCAAGCCCCCAGACAGAGTTCCGGAAAGAGCAGGGCAAGCCCCAGCCCTGCTCTCCTGGCTGGAGCACGGCAAGTCCCCGGCCCCGCTCCCCCAGCCGGAGTGCTGGCTGGAGCATGACAAGCCCCCGGCCCCGCTCTCCTGGCCGGAGCACCTGGTGGAGCGGGGCAAGCCCCTGGCCCCATTCTCTCAGCCGGAGCGCTGGGCTGAGCACGGCAAACCCCTGGCCCCACACTCCTGGCACTATATGTTTGCCCACCCCTGCACTATATTTTTAAACTTCTGTTGCATAAACTTCTGGTTTTCCCACCAGTAGCACCAGTAACATCTCCCTTTGTGGAATGTGTGAAATGATAGAAAAGCTTTTGTAGCCTGGGAACCGATGGGAGCCCCTCACCCCGACCAAGTTAGTTTCAAAATTTTCTAAAATTAAAAAAAACAGCTTTACATTTTCAACTTCCTGTTGTGCCAGAAATTATTTCACTGGGATTAGCCAGGTTGTGTCCAGGGAGCTTCTGCCATCTGAATCATCCCTCTCACAATATATTAGAGTTCTGTTTGTAAAAGTATCATTTTATGTCCTTGAAATTTAATAAAGATTTGTTTTCTGTGTTTCTGCAGTGAATTATTTGGGACAATAACCCGCTGTGTCTTGTCCTGTTCTACTGGCTGCAATACCTCCACAGCTCACCCACAGTGCAGGACAAGCCTGGGCCAACGAACCTTTGTGGACTGTTCCAAAAGGAAATATTTTTGTGATGAACTTATGGTTGAAGTTCTGGAGACAGCCAACAAGTAGATCCAACACCAAAACCAGATGAACTTGTGGCTAGAGGAAAGGTATGGTGAAACACAAGAGGAAAGGCTCAGACTGGCTTCACACCTCGAGGACAAGGTTTCAGCACAGGAACAGATATTTAATTCACAGTTCCAGGAACAGGAATGGCTGCTAAGGGAGGAGGATAGAGCTCAGCAGATAGAACTGTTCCTTTGCCCCATGCAGCCCTCCATATTTATCCCCTTCCTGTGGATGCTTCCACCCCCTCCAGTAATTTCATAAGTGGTCATGTCATTGCATGGCACTAAAACTCCACCCCTATCCCCAAGTACCCCCATCCCTCCTGGCAATCATTAATCCCCTGTACCACCTATCCCAACAAGAGCATTCATAAAGGTACTATTCCTCCTCTCCCATTGGGTCATGCAAATCCATAATGTGGGTGCACCAAGCATCCCTGACTCCTGTTGCCTGGGTGCATCCACCTCCAGCAGTTATAACTCCACTTTCTGGCTGAGCATACCCATTCAACAGCTCCTCGTTGTTATAGGTCCATTCTGGGGGAAATGGCTCACCTTTGGCTTCACAAAGATTGTGGAGAGCACAGCAAATCACAATAATGCAGACAGCATTGATGACAACGGAATCCAAACAGTTCTGTAGACCTCTCCAATAGGATTTTAATCTGCCAAAAGCACATTAGCAACCATTCCACACCTGCTGAGAGTGTAATTAAACCTTCTTTTGCCTGGGCCTCTGAAATCAGGGTTCAGTTCCATTGGCCAAGGCAAAAGTGTGTATGCAGGTTCCCCCAGAATAACAGTGGGGGACAGTAACTCTATTTATGACAATGTCATTTTGTGGGAATAATGTCCCAGCTTGTCCATGAACGTAGACTCCCAACTGGTGATAAACTCTGGCATTGTGAACTATCATAGTACAACCCACATTGACATTCATAAATGATCTTCTATGGTCAATAAGGACTTGCATAACAATGGAGTTGTTGGCAATTTATGTACTCACGTGTCCTTGAGGAGGACAAACTATGTGCACATAAGTCCCATCAATGGCACCAAGTGCAGTTTGGAAACCCCATTCTCCCAAACCCAGAAATTATTTCTCTAACATCTTTTATGCCAGCCACTTTGGGGTGAACCACACTCCTGATTGTCTCAGAAAACTCCATCACCACTTTACCCACAGTTGAGTTTCCAACCCCAAGCTGATTTGCACCAGACCTCTAGCAGTCTGAGGTAGCCAGCTTCCAGACAGCTATAGCAACCTGCTTCTGTACTGGCAAGACTGACATTGTGTGTTTGTCTTTATGCTGGAGGGTCAGGGTAAGCTACTCACAAAGGTCCAGAAGTGTGGCTTTCTTCAGGCAGAAGTTCGGGATCCACTCCTAGTCATCCCAGGTCTACAAGACAATGTGATTCTACCAGTCTGTGCTTGTGAGTCTGTGCTCGTGGCCTTGCACCAGAAGCACCAGTTTATGCAGGGGACTCAGTGGCTGAACTGAGTGTCAAGAGAAGCATCAGCCACTTTCAGTTTGCCAGGTGAGGGTATGCCTCCTGCTCCTGCTCCATCATAAACTGTGTCAGGTGTCTTTGGTGGGTCAGAAAATTCTGCCAAAATGTCCACCACCATCTCATGGAAGTGCTGCCTGTTTCCTGACACAGGAGTGAGAAGTTAATTAAAAGGTGCTCCTCCATGTTGCTGGCTCTGGTAGCTGGAAACACACAGACCAAAATGACCACTCAGCAGGCTGTGTTGGTGGGTTGTTTAAACTTCCTGAAACATACAGGCTAAGCAGTAGTAAAGTTTTCCAACAGTGCGCTACTGTCAAAGGACTTGAGGGACCACATTTCCAGCAGGTCCTAGGGAGTCTGGGATATGGCTGGTTTGACTCAGGTCTCTGTACTGCAGTGTGGATGCCAAAGCCCCATGTTCAAGCCTGGTTAGAAAATTCTTAATGTAGAGTTAATCAGTGTAAATGTTCTAATCCAAAATCAGCTGACTCAAGCCCCACTAATCCAGGGCTTACATAACAGTGTAGACATACCATACTCATATTGTCTTTTTAGGACATAGCTGTATTCATATTTCTGTGAAGAACAGACCACAGACTATTAGAACCAGATTAATCCAGTAAAAATCTGTTCTCTAACTTTGGTTTCTAATTCAGGGAATTGTTTGATTTAGCCAGTTCTCAACTGCTTGTTCTTTTTGTTGGTACATGAAAGTGTAATACACTCTGCAAGGAGATCCACTGGCAGAATCTTACCTTTAGGCTTTGTCTACACTGGGGAAATGAGGTGTGTTAACAAATGTGTTCACTGTTATGCTTCAGTTAACACCTTTTAAACATCACAAAGCACCTAGTGTACACAAAGACAGTTGTGTTGACATTAGTGTGACAATATGTGACACTTCAGTAATGATAGTCTAGATGTGTGAACTGATGAACATTAATTAATTCAAATTAAATTAATTAATTAATTCTAAAATTAATCCTAAAATATTTTCCTAGTGTTTACAATCCAACACTGATGGAGCTAAGTTCTCTGAAAAACAAACCTCTCATTTGTCCTCATTATTTACAAAAGTGAGTTTTTTTCTATAAACTGGAGTTGTGCCAGTTGGAAGCAACAGAGGAGGAGAAAGACCTGGGTGTATTAGTTGATCACAGGATGACTATGAGCCACAAATGTGATGCAGCTGTGAAAAAGGCTAATGGAATCCTAGGATGCATCAGAGAAGATATTTCCAGGAGCAATGAGAAACTGTTATTATCATTGTGCAAGGACCTGGTGAGACCTCATCTGGAATAATGTGTGCAATTTTGGTCTCCCAAGTTTGAGAACATTTAATTCAAACTGGAACACGTGCAGAGAAGGGCTACGAGGGTGAATAGAGGAATGGAAAACCTACCTTATGAGAGGAGACTCAAGGAGTTTAACTTATTTTTCCTAACCAAACAAAGGCTGAGGGAAGACATGACTGCTGTCTATAAATACATCAGAGGGATAAATACCAGGGAAGCAGAGGAGTTATTTCCCTGACACTAATATTGACAAAAGAACAAATGGATATAAACTGGCCATCAACAAGTTCGGTATTGAAATTACATGAAGGTTTCTAACAATCAGAGAAGTGAAGTTCTGGAATGACCTTCCAAAGGGAGAAGTGGGGGCAAAACACCTAACTGGTTTCAAGACTGAGCTTGAAAAGTTTATGGAGGGGATAGTATGACAAGTTTGCATACTATAGCATGTGGCTCAGCTGCAACTGCTAGTAGTAAATACTCCAATGACCTCAAAGGGGGATACTAAATAGGGAGGGCCCAGAGTTACTTCAGATAATTCTTTCCCAGGTGTCTGGCTGGTAGGTCTCACCCATATGATCAGGGTGTAATTGATTGCCATAATTGGAGTTAGGAAGGAATTTTCTACCAGATGAGGTGGCAGAGACCCTAAGGGACAGGGGGGAGTTCATTTTCCTCTGCAGTTTGGAGTATGGGTCCCTTGCAGGTATAAACTAGAGTAAAGGGTGGATTCTCTATTACTACAATGCTCGTTCTAATTAGTGGAAATACTTTAACTGAGTTAAGTAAGCATTCTGTCAGGCACATAGGGAAACTATGTCCATGAATTTTGGGATTTCACTCTAAATGAACCAATGCACACAGGCATTCTTAACTTTGGCAGTTCCCTGATTCCTGAGCATATTACCATGCCATCTCATGTAACCCACAATAACTGTCTGTTATTGTGGGTTACATGGGTATTATCTGTCTCATTTTCTCCAGATAATACCCAAACCAGATAGAGAGATTTATGAGTCTGCTATAGACTTCAAGTTGATTGTTGTAGTGCTTTATCTGAGACAGTAATGAATCCTGCCTTTAGATACAGGGAGCCTGGGTTCGGTCCCCACAGATTGCCTTAGGTCATGTCTATGCTACAAAATTAAGTTGACCTAACTTACATCAGCATATGGCCATTGTGATAATTACATCACTTGTGCATTTCTATATTTTGCTCCTTGGGTTGATGGTTTGCGTCCGCAGGAGGTGCACTTGTATTGATTGCATAGTCAGTGTTGGATGGCTTCTGAGGGCCAGTAACAGTTGAGGTAAGCAACGCAGTGTCTACGCTAACACTTCATTGACCTAACTATATGGATATTGATTACGCTTCTTGTGGAAGTGGAGTTATTAAATTGGTGGGGCAGTGCCTTTGGTGGGAGCAAAATTTTAGTGCAGAGACTTACAGTAAGGTTGATGTAAGCTGCCTTGTGTTGACCTAACTGTGTTGTGTAGACCAGGTCTCTGAAATGGCATCATTACAATTGAGCATCAATGTGGGGAACTGAATTTCTGTGGAACACTGAAGCCCAGGTTGAGCTACTCTAACCAGTAGAAGTATGTACATAATCCATGCTGAAGCAGCATGGCTTTCTGTCCCCTTACATTAACTACATTGTGTACAAAGTTATAAGAATGGTACTGCCTCCAAGCACAGTAACTTGCACCTTGAGTCATTGTAGTCTATGCTTCCGATCTAGAAGTCTGGGATTCAGCCCCCCTCAAGGGGCATTGTTATACTTAGCATTCATTTAACATAGATTTTGCATGAAATAAAATTAAAATGTCAGCAGTTTAAGCTGGGAAAATACTTTAAAGAATTATATGACTATTCACTTCAATCTTTAAATTAATGCAAAGCACAAAATATGCAAGGTGTTCACCCAGAAGTAAATCATGCTAGCTGTATTATATCGCTGTGTTATTAAATCTTTGGGTTTTATTGTGTGAATGTGAGAAGTTTAAACTAGTATATGCAGAAAGGAATTCTAAGCTGTGAAACTATCCATTAATGCATGAAGCAGCCTATACACCCATGTTTATCTACTGTACAATGGTCTGTGCAAACAGCTTTGTAAAGTACCTACAGATCTGATATTTTCCTTTCATTTTCACTGATAGCCTTGGGCTATCACAGAGGATTTATTTATGAATTCTTAGTCACCAGTTAAAGTTCTTCCACATTCTTTCATATTAATATATAAAAAAAGAATTATTCTATATAATTTCCTCATACATGGCTGGATCCATTCCTCATCCTAATTAGTAGAAATACTTTCACTGACCTCAGGAGGTATTGTATCAGGCATATGGAAACTTAAATTGTCAAATAGATTTTGTGGGCATGGGGAAATTTTATTTCTCTTAACTGCTTATTTTTGCAAATGTATCTCTGGCAAAGCTGAAATAATTTGAAGAACAAAATGCTTGGGGAAAGAAATGTCACTTGTCTGTTTGTAAAGCATTCCCCTGAATCTGCAGGCAAACCAGTGTCATAGGAGTCAGGTTAGCAGTGTTAGTGGCTGAAAAGGGGAATGTGAGAATCAGTATAATGTCAATTAAAGTGACGAGTTTTGTGTTGAACAGATTAATGTTAGGGTCACCTATAACGGAGATGATATTTGTCACAGTTCAGGGCAATGACATCAGTATTCTCCCACATGGTCCACCAAGGACACCCACTTTCAGGCTCCCAGCTCCATACCTATCACCTCTCTTGGGTGGAAACATGCCTCTGACTCCCTCCAGAATGGGTTTTTTCCAAGCTGCACAGTTCCCTGCCTTCAGTGTGATATCCCCAGCAAGCCAGACTGCTTAAGGAGGCCACTGTCTGTGTTTTGCTTTGTCTTTATGGGGTATAAAAAGTATAATTTGGAAATCTGACCCTAGTGAAGCAAATAAACAGCAGCTTAAATTACATCAGCCAATAAGTAAGAAGGCTTTTAGAAGGGTCAAAATGGATTTGAGGAGCAAATTACAAAAGGTGACATAACAAATAAGATTCTTTAAGTCTTTCAGATGTGGGTCATTTGCAAAATAATTGTTGGGTCTTCTGGATCAGCCAGGGGTAAAATGAACAATTAAAGGAGGATAAGGACATTGCAGAGAAGCTAAAGGATTTCTTTGAATCCAACTTCATGATAGGAGAGAGCCCTACACCAGCTCTACCACTTTCTGGCAATAAACATGAGGTACTCTCTGAGATAGAGGTTTCAGAAGAAGTAGAGATGCTTGAACAAATTCATAATTTCAGTTCCAGTGAGTTCAGGGATGGGCCCAGATGGGCCATCCAATATTTACGAAGGAGATTATGTTTGATATGGTTGAACTGCTATTAAAAATATCCAATCCCTCACTACAAACAGCTACTGTTTCAGTAGACTGAAGGGTGGCAAATGTTGTACCTATATATGTATATAAAAGGCTCTAGCAGTGTATGGGGAATGAGAGAGAAGAAAACATTAGATCTGCATCTGGCAAATTGGTGGAAGCAATTAAAATATATAATAAAAAAACACCTGGAAGATCATGGACTGATAGGATCTAACCAGCACAGATTCTGTAAAAGAAAATTGTGTCTCACTAATCTCTTTGAATGTGTCAAGAAATTAGTGGATAAGAAGTGTTTACAATAAACAAAATGTATTTAGACTTCCAAAAGTCTTTTCTCCAAGGTTCCTCATTAGAGGCTACTACAGAAATTATTTAGTCATGGGGCAGAAGCAAAGTATCATCGAGGATCAAAACCTGGCTAGGAGAGAGAAAGTAAAAAGTAGGTCCATGTTTCCTAATGGCAAAAAGTTGAGAGTGGGATAATCAAGCTTCTGTAATTGATCAAGTGTAGTTTAACATGTTCACTAATTATCTGGAAAGTGGGGTGAATAGTAAAGTAACAATAGTTGCTGATGACACAAAGTTATTTAGATTAACCAGGAACAAAAAGAACTGTGAGGAATTTCAGAGATAATGAAACAAGCTGGGTGAAATGGGAAACATGATGGCAAATAAAGTTCAGTGTTGATAAATGCAAAGCAATACACAAAGAGAAGGGACTGTGTTACCTTGAAAGTGTATGTTATGAGATGTTGTTATAGGATAAAGGTTGTTATTTTACAATGGGGTATGTTGCTGGGTGAAGATCAAAAGAACTATATGCCATTGGGTGCCCAGAGACACAGAGACAGGGACTGCCGGACAGAAGCTCTACCCAGGCGGCTTGTTTGGAACTTTAATGTTAAGGTTATTGTGTGGCTCCTGAAGACAGAGGGAGAAGTATTGCAGAGTGCACTGGGGAGCTAGGTTGTGATCAGGAAGAAAAGCACTGGCTGAATTTTATCAGATTAGATTTCCCTAGATTTCCCTAGTTGAATAAGGCACTCAAAAGTTAAGTCAACCCAGTTACATCACTCAGAAGTATAAAAAATCCACATCCCTGAGCTACTTAGGTAAACCAACCTAATCCCTAGTGTAGACAGGGATGGATTCTTCCATTGACCTAACTACTGCCTCTCAGGGAGGTGGATTAACTAAGCCAACAGGCGCTGACCCACTGTAGGGTTTCCAGTATAGACAAGCCCCGGAGAAGAAGAAGTGTTACTGATTGCTATTGTTAAGGTTGTGTTATGTTTAGTCTGGTTCATTAAAAGCTTAGAGTCTTTTCAAACACAGGAGATGGAGGAGTAGTCAATCATTCAGTGGAGGGTTGTAAGAGATCTGCAGGGCCATTGGAGCAGAGTATGGAAAAGCAGTCAGGATCTCCTGATATTCACAGGCAAGTGTCCTCAGAGGAATAGCAACCCAGAGACACTAGTGTGGAACAAGGTGCGTGTCCAAGAAGGGTCTGGTTGTGATGAATTTGTACACTTTACAAGGGTGTAAATAAATTGTATCAGTTCAAGACAGGGACCTGTACATCACTGCAGGTGGCTAAATAAAGACCTTTGCTCAATGTGCAAGACAACTATATTGGAATGACATCCCCAAGTATGAGCCATTAACAAATGAGCTATTGCAAAATGCCTGATTAAAAGCAGTAAAATGGTCTGTACTTACACATTCACTTTGAATGGAATCTTATCCTCTAGCTCCTTCTAAAACCTGCAGCAATATCCAGTTAATAGATAATGTGAGAAAACTGCGGAGAAAGAGATCTTATAAAATGTGAGCAGTAGCATGTGGGTGGAATTTAAGCAAGCAGAGATGTTCAAGACAAAAAGGAGGAAATTCTGTTCTTGTTTACACTGATGTAGCACCAGGGGAGTTGGCAGTTTACCAGTTTTACTTTAAAGTACCACTCCTGTAAACAAACAGTACTTGTGAGCAAAACAAACATAGGATTATTTAAGAAAGAACATAAATTTAACTAGAAACACGAGAGAGTGGTGAATACAAATGTTTCCAATACTAGATAGATATGAACCAGGGCCTACATTTATTAGTAGTTATCTTTCCTATCTAATCAAGTAGGTTTCCCCCCACCCCCAAAGTTCAGTCTGTTGCAGAGCTGTCTGGCTTCACAAAAAACAAGATCCAAACAGTCATGAAAATACCCCTGCTCCACAAGTGGTTTCCTCACTGAATGGATCCAGAGCGCCTCTCCACACTCTGTATTATACTGAAATAGTCTGTCTTTATTCATAGACAGGACCATTCTTTGTTGCAATGTTCCTTTTTTAACCTCCAAGTGGTTTCAATTGTTTGCAGTTGTCTGTCATGATTTGCCATTGAAAGTCTTGGGATGGATAAACACTACACAACTGAACCTTGCATTGTCTCACTGCCTAACAAGGGAGGGTGACAAATTCCTCTTGCTGGAATGGGTCATCACTGAGACCCATTACCTCTGGTAACTAACTTTCACACCCAAGACCATAGAGCATACCTTCAACATAGTTATGCATTTCCTTAAATACTACCTGTACCTGCATCTCACAAAGATTATGAATCCTGACAAGTTATGAGCTTTCTGCAGATACCATACCTGTTACTGCTTATAGACACCTGCAAAACAAGTGTCAGCTGGAGTCAGTTTGTCAGGCCTCAGATTAGAGTTGTTTTCAGAGAACAGGGGACCCTTTGCCAAGGAGGAATGGGGTCACACAGTGTCCTTTCCAGGAAGCAGAATGGGGGAAATGATATGGGGGTAGGAAGACATGGGGGCCACAGAGACCCTGGCATGGGGAAGAGGGTAGTCCTTGCAATAGAGGGGATGGGAGGATGGCTGACAGGGAGTTGTGGGGGAATGGAGGGATACCAGAAGCCCCATGTATGTGCAATGAGCTCGGATGACATAAGATACGAACCGTGCGACCTGCTGGTATAGCTCATGGTGGAGCTCAGAGAGAAAAGGGCTTGGCACAGGTTTGGACTTGCTGAGATTCAGCAGAGGCTTGCAGAGATTCACACAGACTAATCATGATGGAGAAAGACATGTGGAAACTGATGAAACCTTTGTAAATTCTCATGGCAAAGGTTGGTCCAGCAGATATCAAATGTATAGCACTGCCCACAGCTCTCTCCCCACACCTCCTTGCTCTCCTGCACACAGCTGTTCAAAGTTGATTCCTCACACCCAGCCCAGTCCCCTCCCGCAACGCTAATTTTCCCCCATGAGTGTTCTGCAGTTCTGCTGGCTCAGGAAAGGTAATTTCCTCCAGCACAAAGGTGATTATCGGCTCAGACACCAGGAGGAGAAGGACCAGGGCAGGTCGATCATCCCACACTGAAGAGGACATGGCTGGCCCTGTAACATGGTAGGGAACATGTTAACGAGTGTCTGTGAAGCAGCACGTGAATCTGCAGTGACAACAATAGAAGCAGTGTAAAGGGGACCCTGTCTGGGCTCCCCCACCCTTTGATTTACGGAGGAGGTTCATTATGTAGCCTTGTGTGCACTCAGACTCAACAGGACCAGGGAGGCATGAATTCCAAAGAGCTAGGATTTGATTTGATTTGATTTCACACTAGAGAAATCAAACTGGTTTAAGCTCCTAGAAACATTTCCAGGAAACTTTGTGTCCACCCACAAAGCCACGGCAAGTAATTTACAAAAAGTCTAATAACTGGTTAGAGCCGATGGCTTTCCAGCAGCTTTGATTACTGCTTAAGTCTGGGTCAGTATGAACTGGTTTAGTAGTAGAGTGGAAGCAGAACAGCTGAAACAGTTCAGATAGTGGCACTGAATACTGGCACCATTTTCCACAGGTGGTGATGATTTTAGCTGATTTCTCACTCCTGAGGGTAACAATGGCAGGGAGGGCAGTGCTGCTGCTGGCATGCTGATGCCGCATGTGCCTGTATGCGCTATAATGTGTGCTGCAGTGGTGCCTGCTGATGTTATCTCTGACTGGCGTGAGAAAATGTCCTACCGTGGAGGAAGAAATAAGGCTGCCATCCCTAGAAACCTTTGGGAGAAGATTGCATGTACATCCATGAATGTTTCATTGAGATCTCTCAGGAGAATTCGAGGGACATCCCTGTATACATAAAAAACTGTCCCTCCCCCACCCCGACCCTGCCTAGCTCTATAGGAGAATGAAAAGCTGATAACAATGCTACCTCTCTTTGTTGTACCCATACCTTCTAGTACGAGTACATTAATGAAATGTTGGTAGCTCTGTCCTGCTAAGTTGGGGCGCCATCCCTGTAATGGGAAATAAATTTACACACTTACCAAGGATCCTTCCACTACAGTGACTGCTGGGACTGAGTGGATTGCAGTGGAGTCTCAAATGGGTCCTGGCTCCTGGCATAGCTGGACTCCCCAGTTTCATGTTCCCCATCGTCCTCCACTTCCTCCTCCACTTCCTCTTCATCCTCACCAGTAGTGTGGCTCGGGCTCTTTGGAGTGGATTACAAAGTGTGGGGGCGGTTCTCTACCAAGTTGTCCCAACTAGCTAAAGAGGGGGGTTTCCTGCTCATCACTGGAGTGACTGTTGGCCTCCCTGGCATTCTGCTATGCCTGCTACAGTTCCTTTGCTTTCACACAGCACTGCTGGTAATCCCTGTTGTAGCCTTTCTCCTCCATCCCTTGTGCAATATACTCATAGATGTTGACATTTCTATGGCTGGCCCAGAGATGTGCTTACACAGCCTCTTCTCCCCACAGGCTCAGGAGATCCAGTATCTATTCCAAGCCAGAGCACCTCTGGAGCTTGTAGCTGCAATGGTCAGTTGGGCAGTTTCATCGAAGGGTGGAAAGCTACTATGTGAGCTCACCAAGCTGGGCAATCAGGAAAAGCCATTTAAAATTTTTGCAGACTTAAAAGGGGAGTGGGTCCTTCAGTGTATGTGACCCCCGTGCAGTGGAGTTAAAACTGAGACCAGAGTGTACAGTGTTGGGCATTGTGGGACACCTGCTGGAGGACTGTAAGAGGTGACAGTTAATCATAGAAGATTAGAGTTGGAAGAGACCTCAGGAGGTCATCTAGTCCAACCCCCTGCTCAAAGTAGGACCAACCCCAACAAAATCATCCCACCCAGGTCTTTGTCAAGCAGGGCCTTAAAAATTTAATTTAACCTCTAAGGATGGAGATTCCACCACCTCCCTAGGTAACTCATTCCAGTGCTTCACCACCCTTCTAGTGAAATTGTTTTTCCTAATATCCAACCCCACTGCAACTTGAGACCATTGCTCCTTTTTCTGTCAATGCAGTGTCTTCACTCATGCTGCGTCAACCTCAGTATATTGATCATGGCTCAACACTGGGGAGCTGGTGTTACTATGCTGGCATAACGGGGTACTTATATCAATGGCAGGCAAATTTAAATGTTTACACACACACACACACACACACACACACACACACACACACACACAA